TGCCTCAGCCTCCCCAGTAGCTGGGACTACAGGCATGCGCCACCATGCCCGGCTAATTTTTTCTATATATTTTTAGTTGTCCGATTAATTTCTTTGTATTTTTTTTTAGTAGAGACGGGGTCTTGCTCTTGGTCAGGCTGGTTTCAAACTCCTGAGCTCAAACAATCCGCCCCCCTCGGTCTCCCAGAGTGCTAGGATTACAGGCGTGAGCCACCGCGCCTGGCCTGAGACAGGTCTCACTCTTGCTCAGGCTGATCTCAAAACAAGTGACCTCAAGTCATCCTCCCACCTTGGGCTCCCTGAGTGCTAGGATTACAGGCATGAGCCACCACACCTGGCCCTAATTCCTTGGTTTTAAGGCTTTTCAAAATTCTTTACTACATCTACTTAAAGCCATCCTACCTGAGATCTCTACTTAATCATAACTCTGGTTCTTCATTGGGCTCACTAATAGCCAGTGGGCACAGAAGAGAGTAACAGCTGGTGGGGAGAGGGCATAGGTCGTAGAAGATGGAGAAACGGCACAATAGGGTAATTGTTTTCTTTGAGCTGGGGATGGTAATGGCTAAATGGAAGTCCTCAGTCCTGAAGGAAAACTTGGTGATAGCAGGTAATATATAGGATTTGGACCCCAAGCCTAAAGACACAGGAGCTTGAACATGTGGCATTGACTTACTGGTAGGGATTGCGGAGGCAGGGAGAGGGCTTGGACTTAGTAAGAAGGTAATTGCCCAGTAAATGGCAATCACATTTAATCCTCAAAACCTTGAATTTTTATTCCCTGTAGACAATGTAACACAGGAATTCCTTAAATTGAAGTCTTAGTTATTGAATCCAAACCTAACTGCAGTGCTCATCTCTTTTGCCAAGATGCCTACTGGACAGTGCTAGCAGCTGAGGTTTGCAATGTTGAACTAGGAAGTGAATGGTAAGGGCAAAAGGTTACCCCTTCCCATTTTTAGTAAGAGAATATTAAAACTAAGCTTTTGTTCAGATAAAAGGGTATTTGAGGGGATCATACTTGTGTATAGATGATCTCCCAAGTGAACCCATCCTCCTAGAGTTACTGCGAAAGCATTCATGGCAAATAGGTGGGTACTTAGCTGCGCATCTGGAACTGTGGCCCAGCAAGCCCTGTGCTGGGGACTGGACCACCAAGCAGAAGCCCAGTCCAGTGGGTGAGAAGTTGAGCCAGACAAGTGCCATGCTGACAGTGCCTTTGCACTGCTCAAAGGGTCAGGGACCCTGCCCTACACTGCATCAAAGTTGTGTTGCTTTGAGCCTTCCATAATCGTGTCCCATCCTGCCAAAGGATAGTGAGTGCAAAAAAGATGTCCAGACCGTAAAGGATAAAGACTATTCATAGATGACGTGGTCGTTCGTGTAGTCAAATTAGTAAGGAATCTGCCAAAACAATACTAGTGTAAGTGATTTTAGTAGTCATAGGAGATCAATATACAAAAAACCAGTTGAATTCATTAGCAATGAACAATCATTAGCTAAATTTTTAAAAGTTCATTCCCAATAGCATACAAAATAGAAATTTTGTGAAAGATTTTGTAAACCTGTATACTGAGAACATTGCCGAAATTAAAGACCTTGATAAATGGGGAGATACTTGTTAAGATGTTGCATCTGAAAAGCTAAGTGAACACAAGGCAGATGGAAAAGGCTACATACTCTGTGATTTCATTTTCATGAAATTTCTAGGAAAAGCAAAACTATAACAGAAAGCAGGTCAGTGGTTGCTGGGGGCTGGGAGAGTGGGGAGTGACCACAGAGGGGCAACAAGGAACTTGGGGGAGCAATGGAAGTGCTGGAAAACTAGATCAGGTGGTGACAGCACAGCCGCGTATATTACTAAAATTCACCAGGAGCAGTGGCTCACGCCTGTAATCCCGGCACTTTGGGAGGCCAAGGTGGGAGGATCACTTGGAGACAAGTTTGAAACCAGCCTGGGCAACATAGCAAGATGCCGTCTCTACAAAAAAATTTTAAAATTAGCCATAAGTGGTAGTGTGTCCCTGTAATCCTGGCTACTCAGGAGGCAACAATGTGAATATATTTACGACTGAACTGTACACTTAAAAATGGTAAAAGTTATAAATTTTTCTATAGAAGTGATGCTATTCAGAAAATGGTAATTTTATGTATATTGTAGTGCACACGCAGAGAGCAGAAGGAATTGTTTTATAAACCAACACATGCCCATCAGCCAGCTTCAATAATCATGGTTATAGGATCTCATTTGAGTTTAGAATCTTATGAGGAAGGTATCATTATCAATCCCTTTTGATGAGGAAACAAGCTCAGAGTGGCCACACAAATAAGAGGTGCCACAGACCCCCTTTCCAAGTGGATTGTCCGTGGACCCTGGCCTTTCTCACCAGATGCCACATCGAAAGACTCCATTCAGAGCATGTGATTGGCTGAGCCCATTGCCAGCTGCAAGGGCAGCTGGAAAACAAGTGTCTGGTCTTTTCATCACCTTTTGCCTCCTGGCTGCCTCATGAGGTGGAGGTGTCCGCAGAAGGCGGGTGGGATATTCAAGGCTGGACGACTCAATGGACAAGACCTTGCATCAGAGCTCCTCTGCCTGGAAAGTTCTTTTATTTTATTTTATTTTTAGGTATTCTTTTATTGTGGTAAAATATACATAACATAAAATTTACCGTTTTAACCATTTTTAAGTATACAATTCAGTGGCATTAACTACCTTCACGATGTTGTGCAACCATCGCCGCTATTCCAAAAACTTTGTCATTTCCCTGAACAACCTTGTGCCTATCAGCAATCCCTTACCTGGGACACTCATGTTCTCTGCACCAGGCTGAATCCATCTGTTATCTGGCCCCTGTTTATATGTCGCTCTCTTCAGGAAATCTGTTCCTGACGTAAGCCCCCGTATACACTCTCTTGGCATCCCCTGCCTTTCTTTGTAGCATTACACAACCGTAATAAAATGATTGTGAGTTTCAGGTCTGTCTCTCTCCGCTGCCTGTCTGCCCAGGGGGGAAGGTGTGAGTCTAGCTTGGTGCATGTGGCAGGCACTGATCCATCTTTGTGGATTGAATGAGTAACTAGTACATACAACTGATGTTTTTCCTCTTCCTGTGGGGATGGCAATTTGTTAAAATAATTCTGTATAATTTAGGAAGCTTTTGTTCCCTTTTCTAAGGCTTCAAGATCTGCTCAAACCTTTGAAAGTGTGATTGCAGATTCTTCTTCCAGAGGAGGGAGCATCACATCACTTCCCTGGGAAGAACATTCCAGGAAGCTGGGCTTTTAGTGAGTCACCACGGTGTATTAATAGCACCATCAAAATCTGAACAAAGATTCCATTATGTTATTGCAGAGCCAACAAGCTGAGCATATTGCCTGCCAAGTGTATCTGTTTGCTTGGAACATGCACCGTATTCTCATGAAAGCACTTTAAGGCCTCAACACTTGACCATTGAAATTCTAGGGCTTAAAATCTGGTCCAAAAAGAAACATTGTTGTTTGTTAAATTCTAGAATAAAGTTTAAAAAAATCAGAATTAAAACCAATAAAGCATTCAATATTTGAATACCATCCATTGTGGATGTAGAAAATTATGCTATTTTGTACTTCCCTTTTAATGAAACTGATTGGTACCACTGCTGGGCATCCCTGAATCCTGTGGCTTCTGCTTTCTGTCTCCTTCCTTAGCCTGAAAGCTCAGCAGACATATATGAAAAGATGCCCAGCCTCACTGTGGATCGGGA